GGGTTTAGGGTTTAGGGCTCTGAGAGCTTAGGATCTTCGGGTTCCCAGGTTCCCAGGGTTTAGGGTTAAATATAGGGGCCTTACAAGTTAGAATAGGGTTTTGGGTCCCATTATACTATACTTAAAATAAGGAGCCCCCCAAAAATGGAAAAGGTAAAAATTCGGGCCGCTATATTAGGCGCTTGCAGTGGGACTTGGCTTCAGGAAGCTGCCAAAGAGTTCAACGGAGAGTCCGTCGACGGTCGTAGACGACGCTGACGATGGGGGTGACGTCGTCCTCGTTTCTGGCCCACTTTGAAAGTGCAATTGTTCTTCCTTGTGCTGCTGCCACCGCTGCTGCTACCTACCACCTACTACTACGACGACCACGACCACGATCAGGTCCTGACCGCGACCGCGACCGCGACTGCTTCTACGACTACGGCGATGACGATGATGACCATTCTACTACCGCACTACTACGTACTCTTTGCAATCCTAAATGCTGGAGATCCTGAGCAGGTCACCCAAATCTTGAAACGTGAAGCAGCCTGCTCACCCGGAGACTTCCAGCCTCCAGGCATTCGGTTGCATGAAGGGAAAGCAGGAAAATTTTCCTGATTTCTTGCAAGAACCAACCTTGCTACCTTGCCCTGTCCTCCAAGTCCCCTGGCGTTCCGCTCCGCAGAAGATAGACAAGGAGGCCACTGTCGCCAGTATTGCCCCAGCCTGCATGGAACGCAGTAACTTGGAAAGCCTCATGACCCTGACCAGCTCAGCAGCCTCTTTAGGCGCCCCAGCACGCGGACGACGAGGCCCGCATGCTCAACGTATGTATTATTGATTTTTGTTGAATCCGACCTGTACTACAATTTACAAACAAAGGTTGTCTAAGTCTAAGTCATTGGCCCCCGGTCCTTGATCCATCCCTTCGGCTTCGACGTGCAAGCAGCAGACCTGCCTGAGTCCAGTGGTAGCAAAGCCCTCCGACACTGGCCCTAATCGCCTTAATCGTTAAAACGCGATTCTAAGTCTAGCTGCTTCTTCAAAGCCCCCAAAACTACAAACCCCTATATAAACCCTAAACCGAGACAACTCCAGTCCCCGAGGCATGTCTGCCGGCACTGGCTGACTTCTCGCCACCTCGAGGTGGTAGTGGCAACCCTCCCGTGGAACCTGACGGGCTATCCGGGGCTGTGAGGTGTAGGGTTTGGGATTTAGGGTTTAGGGTTTAGGGCTTAGGGTGTGTGAGGTGTAGGGTTTGGGATTGAAGGCTTTGGTGCTTTTGTGGCTTAGTTCTTGGTACAGTTCGGAACTGCAACCAAGAGATGCATTGATTGTGCTGAGGACTTCGGGATCAGGGTTTGGGGTTCAGCGTCTAGCGAGGATCAGCTCGACTTCGTATGGAGGTATGGTCAGACACGATGCTAGCTGTGCGCACGAGCTTCCCGGCAAAGGTTGTGGGAAATTGCGGTGCGAGATACCCTCCCACAGCCATACCTAGCATCCAGTCAGTACTCGCAGTCGGACACTGGTCATACGCAAAACGCTAGATAATCCCACATCTTTATGTGTGCCACTGCCCCTCAACCCTGAATGCTCTTAAGTCCCTCAATCCTGAACCCACAGAAAACCCCCATGCTAGACCCTACGAAAAGCCCCAAAGCTCTCCTACTAAACCTAAACCTGAACCCTGTAAACTTAAACCCACTAAACCCTAAACCTCCAAAACCTAAACCCTATAAACCCTGAATCCAAAACCCTATAGACCCTCAACCCTATAAGCCCGACAAGTCCTACAGGCCCCTAAACCTTTAAACCCTAAGCGTCCTTATCAAGGAAATGGCCTCTCGCACGCGAGAGCCGGCTCTCTGCGCGTGGCCCTGAGCTGTGAGCTCACAGCGCACACTGCTCTCCAGCATGGTGACCTCCCACACTTCTCGGTATCTTTGGAGATTCCGGCTTTGGGGGGACCTCCTCTACTCCCATTTTGCAGTGGTTAGTCGATTTCGGCAGTGTGGCAGCGGCAGAAGCAGGAACGATAGAGATGATACTGCATGACAAGGTGCCCAGTATAAGCTTGAGTTAGGATCGAACCCTAAGCCCTAAACCCACAACCCTAGACCCTAAACCCCAAAATAACCCCATAAAACAAACCCACAGCCCTAAACCCTGAACCCCAAAATAAGCCTACAAAACAAACCCACAAGGACCCACAGGAACCTGATGCTTCGTCGTCACGCTCCGGCAGAAGCGGCCTCGGGCTACCTGTAGGGATCTCTAGGTTCAGGGGCCGAAGGTAAGTTTAACGTAGGGGCCTGGTTTAGGGGGTTCGGGGTTTAGGGGCTCAGGGGTTTGGGGGATTAGGGGATTAGGGGATTAGGGGTTTAGGGATTGGGGTTCAGGGGTTTAGGGGTTTAGGGTATTTTTAGGGTTTAGGGTTTTAGGGTTTTAGGGTTTTAGGGTTTAGGATTTAGGGTTAAAGGTTTAGGGTTGGCCAGAGCTTCACCCAAACTCCTGCAAGTCACGGCCCTCCCTCCTGAACCCACAAAAGCTAGGTTCCACATCCGAAAGCCCACATCCAATGTGCTTTTATGCTTCTGGCAATTACGTAATTTCCCTAAACCCTAAACCCTAAGCTCAAGATCCTTCCCTCTCTTTGCAAAGACGTCCAGCGCTGTCCGTGACGATATGACTATAGCCTCCTAGTAGACATGTTAATGGCCCGAGGATGGTAACCATTAGCAATAGTAGCAGTAAGGCTCAATTGCTGTGATTATGACTCTTTGCGGCTGCTATCGCTTTTACTACTGGTATTGCTGTTATTTCAACAGTATCGTCACACCTAACAGTTGTACGCTGCAGAAGCCCACCTTCAACTTGCAGTCCCGCAGCAGCACGCGCTGTTGCATCCGAGCGTTGCTCAGCGATAAAGTCCGATCTTCGTGCACTGCCTGGGGCTTACGCAGGGCTGGGGCCAAGCGGAGGGGGGCCCAAGCGTGAGTAACAAATCATCATGAAGGGACTATAGGGGACTACTCGTACCAAGTTTTCTGACCCCTGATAACCCGCCTTCACCGTCCACTTGCTCTCCTGGAAGTCCACCTCATCCCCTGGGAATATGCTCTGGAGCGCCACTCGTAGACAAGCGGCGAGGTCGAAGTCCATGGCTTCTTAGGGTTTAGGCTTTGGGCTTTAGGGTTTAGGGTTGATCCTCTTTTCTGGGTCCTTGTCAACTCAGTTTAGGAACCATGATAGGGATCGTCTGTTTCTGGGGTCTGAGTCACTTAAAGTAACTTACCGTAATTACTAGTCAAGATCTTCGATAAACACAAAAGTCGATTCGCCTGCTATGCTAACTTTGGTTAAAACTCCTTAACACCCAGTTTCGAGGCCTCTTGGCCGCTTTTTGTTGAGGGTCCCTCGGGCTTCCAGCATTTTGGGTTTTCGAGAGCCCTGGGTTTAGGGGTTTAGGGGTTCGGGTTTAGGATTTAGGATTTAGGATTTAGGATTTAGAGTTCAGGGTTCAGGATTTGGGGATGTTTGGTGTTCAGGGTTTAGGGCTATGGTCGAGAATGGCTTTCCTGGCTTGGGCGGCAAGGCGCTGCAGCACGAAGCCCATGGTCCCCCCAAAGTACTCTCTTGAGGGTTGACGACTCTGTTGAGGGTTTGAGTCATTATATAAGGTTAAGGGCAATGAAAAGATTTTCGGCGTCCACCTCACAAAGGCCCACTGAAATCACTCCCAGACTCTCATACATCACGGGATGGTTTATTCTAGAGTTCAGCTGGGTCCTAAGGCCCGAGAGACGCCAACCCCTGCCTCGTAATGCAGGGGCTCAAATAATTACCAATACTAATTTTGGCGGTTCCTTACTATGACATGATTATAGTATATTCAATAATGGGCCCCAAAGCCCTATTCTAGTTATTAAGGCTCCTACATTGCCTTTCGAAATATCTTTGGTACGACTCCCCGGAGCTGGTGATCACTGCCGTCACCGCCATGACCCAGAGTTGTTACCCAAAGGGTCCAAGTGCCTACTACGACTCTCCCAAGTATTAACCTAGAGAACTACGCTCCGTAGTCAAAGTACCTCAGTATTGCGTCCTTTGGACCCAAAAGGCTCGTGCGTTTGACTGTCATCTTCCTAACTAATTATCACGCCATCATGACTATGACCATGATACCCCTCCCAACGGCCCAATCACGCAGTCCCCGCACACCCCCCCGCAAAGCCTTCGATGCAGCCCCAAACCACAGCGTGCCGTCTGAAATCACCTGGTACAACCTGCTCCGTGCGGCTTCGAGGTCGCACAATTGCATAGCTTCGGATAGGCGGGAAGCTTTAGCAAGTCCTTGAGCTGTGTGTTCTGAAGGTTGAGGGTTAGGGTATTGGGAAGCCAAAATTTCGGATCGGGTTGTTATGATGGTTGAAAGACGCATTCCTTACCTGCACAGATCGAAGGGTTCGCCGTTTGGAGGCGAGGGGTGGCGTTCATGCCTATCCATATATATATATATATATGTATGTATATACACACACACGTGTGTGTACATATATACATATATATTCTGTCATATTCATATAATATATATATATATATACATGTGTATATGTATATATATATATATGTATTCTTTACATACATACTCACAGGAAAGCGGCCCAGAGCTAAGCCCCTTGGCACACCGATCCTACTGCTTCACCAGTAGTGCTGGTGGCGATGAATTTATTACGGTCATAGTCGCGGTGATGACGATGTTCGTGGTAGCAGTGCTGTTAGAGCCAGTACGTGTAGTGGTTACTACAAGTAGTTACAGTCAGTAGAAGTACTGGTGTAGTAGTAGTAGTAGTAGTAGTAGTAGGAGTAGCAGTAGTAGTAGCAGTAGTAGTAGTAGTAGTAGTAGTAGTAGTACCCTTATCCACCCTACATAAGCGCCCCCCACCTCATCCTGTGTCCACCATGCCATGCTCTGATGTCAGCATGTGCTCTGGTTCAGAGAACTTTGGAGTCCTGGGGGTGGCTACCGAAACTCAAAGGCAGAAGCTGCCGGAAGTGCGGTGGTTCCGTGAGTCTGAAGCAGACTACCTCCAGGTCAGTGGACCCAGCGACTGGCAAGAGAAAACGACCTTCTTGGGTGCCTTTGAAAGACAAAACTGTCAAGGCTGGTGCCCCTCCACCGCCTGATCACTATGATGAGGTCAGTGTCCCTCTGAACAAGAAGCTTAAGTCTTGTGTGCACCATGTCGATGGTGCTCAAGCTAACAAGAAGGCCCATAAAAGGGATGAGCCTTTGCAGGGCCAGCCTCTTTCGGATGTGAATCACAGCAAGAAGCAATTCAGTCGATTTGCCAAAGTGCCACTGAAGGAGGTTGGAGCCAAACTGGCTGCACACTTGGCCAAGCGAAAGTCCAGCAGCAAGACAAGTTCCGAGTTTCAACCAACAGAGCTGAAGCACTTGCAGGACAGAACAAAGTCAAGATGAGAAGGATGGCTGGTGGCAAGCTGCCGTCTCGGGCACACAAAGCTGCTTCATGGTTGGCTGCAGCTCACTTGAGGAGAATCCCAGGCTACGAGGCATTGAGCATGTCTTTCGGGGCGTTCTTCAAGACTTTTCTTGACAGCGGGGATCCAGTCACAGTGCTGGATAGAGCTCAGGGGTGGCTGAAAGCCAAAACCACGGACCTCGAGGATTGCTGCGACGAGTCCGAAGCTGAAACAAGGGCGCTTAACCAGGGGGTTTAAACCTAGTAGTAGTAGTAGTAGTAGCAGCGGCAATGGTTTGGGTTCAGGACATGATGAGACCCTCATAATCTCCTTACCAACTTCTCCCCACAGAACAATGAATCAGAGCAACAGAAGAGGAGCATGCAGTATCACTCCCGTTGCATCGGTTGGGATTGTGGTTTGCTACTTCAGCTAGGTGAGGGTCAATCGCAGGAAGAAGATGACGAGGTGAAGACTTCAACCATTCTCCCGCCAACTCTCTCATCATCACAGCGACAAGAAGAAGAGGCATGACATCCCGTGAATGGTAACGAGAATGCCTCACAAAGAAGTACCAGCCTGCTAAGAATCGGCGGAGACGTAGAGGACGACTCTCCTTGCAAAGAAGCGCGCTCGCTGAGGCTTCGAGCTGATGCTTAGGCTTGAGGGTTTAGGGTTTGACAGGGTTTAGGGTTTAGGGTTTCGGGTTCAGGGTACAGGGTTTAATTAAAGCTTGATAGGACGGCGGCTTCAGAAACTTCAGCCAGAGGTCCAACCTTCTGCCCTAGAACCGGAGTCCTGAACCCTCCGCACACCACGCTGCTCTTGATGATATAAATCCTGCATTACCTTATGGACCCCAAACTAGGGGAATTGTGGTACATTCCTTATTATGGGCAATGCAGGATTTTATGTCATCAACCGTAGGTAGTACAGGGGCCTTTATCATCAACATAGGGGCTTGGGGTATATTATACTACGAATGTTGTAGGAAATCTAAGGAATAAGATTGGTAAGCAAGCCCTAAACCCTAAACCCTAACCCTAAAAGTTCAAGTATTTAAGCCCCTAGATTAACCCCAACAAAACAACTTTAGCCCTGGCAAAGACTTGGAGATCCTGCCTCGATATTGGGAAACCAACCACCGGCGTTATAGTATACTATAGTACATTCCCTAAGGGTCCAAATACCCAAATAGTAGGGTTTCAAGGTCCAAAAACCATTCAGAGTATGGATTCTGGAACCAAAAACCCTACTATTTGGGTACTCGGACCCTCTGGGATTACAGTATATGAAAGTATATGATAAAGCCAGTAGCCCTCTCCGGCTGCATCTGGCCTTGCTCATACTTTTGCCTCGCGATCAGGCGGCGCATGAACCAACCTGGCAGCACGGCGAGGGTGTAACCCTTAAGCACCCTGAAGCCCTGGAACCCGAGCCCGAATCCCTGAACGCCAGACCCGACCGATATCGGAGAACAAGGTATTGTGGCAGCAGATAAAATTTTAAAAGTCTGGTCATCGTCATGGTCATCATTGAGATATCCAGAGTTACTTCGTCTTAGTCAGTCAGTCGGCTTCGCTGTCATCAGGTCAACTACGTCGCCGCCGTCGTGGAAGCCACAACTGCACCGCCAGCGGCATCCTCATCGTCATCGTCATGATATTCCTCTTCAGCTTCTTCATCATCACCTAGACCATCACCATTGCCGACAGCATCGGCCGCAAGTGGGTGAACAACAACGACGGCAACAACAATCACAACAACAACATCAACATCGCAACAGAGCAACAGCGCAACAGAGCAACAGCGCAACAGCGGCAGCAACAGCGACAGCAACAGCAACAGCAACGGCATCAGCAGCAACAACAACAGCAACAGCAACAACAGCAGCAACAGCAACAGCAACAGCAACAGCAACAGCAGCAACAACAACAGCAACAACAACCACCACAACCACAACAACAACAGCAGCAGCAACAACAACAACAACAACAACAACAAG